TGAACAGACCAAGTGCCCTCAGCTGCTTCTCATGTGGCTTCCCATCCAGGCCCTTCACCATCTTACTACTCACAGGAGAAAAGCTAAAAAGCAGAACTGGTTGGCCAAAATAGAGATGGAAATCACAAGACAATGGTTTCCTCACTGAAGTGAACAAAGAGCATCAACAAGCAGGAAAGCTCAAGGACAAAGTCTAAGGAGAGCTCCTTCCTGGTACTTCTGTGACACAGAGCTGGCTGAACAGATGAAGCTCCTGCCTCAGCCAATATTTTGTCTTCCTCCTGAGCTTAAGAGGATCTTCACCTCCACAAGGGGAAACAATTCTGGGCCCCTCAGTTTGGGAAGGACATTGAGACACTTGTACGCATTCAGAGAAGGGCAAGGAGGCTGGTGAGGGGCTTGGAACACAAGCCCTACGAGGAATGACTGAGGGAGCTGGGGGTGTTTAGCCTGGAGAAAGGGAGACTCAGAGGTGACCTTATCAATCTCTACAGCCACCTGAAAGGTGGGTGTAGTCAGGTGGGGTTGGTCTCTTTCTCCAGGCAGCAACTGACAGAACCAGAGGACACAGTCTTAGGCTGTGCCAAGGGAAATACAGGTTGGATATTAGGAAAATGTTTTTCAGGGAAAGAGTCATAAGGTTCTGGAATGGCCACCCGGAGAGGTGGTGGAGTCACCATTCCTGGATGTGTTTGAAAAAAGACTGGATGTGGCACTCGATGTCATGGTTTACTTGAGATGTTAGGGCATGGGTTGGACTCAATGATCTTTAAGGTCTCTTCCAACCTAGTGATTCTGTGAATTCTGTGATTTGAGAGAGGTGAGAGAGGTAAGAGTGGAAACATGAAATTTTGTTCTGTGTCAGAACAGTATGTGCAATAGGAAATTATTCTCCTCATCTCTTCAGGCCAGAGTGGCCATTGGGATCAACTGCTCTGACCAGCTACCCAACAATGCTGCTTGCCACAACTCCCTGACAGGAGGGTGTGGCCATGTGGGGGTCAGCCTCTTCTCCAGGGGAACAAGGGACAGGACTGGACTAGGAAAAAATTTTTTACTGAAAGAGCAGTTAATAGAACAGACTGCCCAAGGAAGTGCTGGAGTCACCGGCCCTGGAACTATTCAAAGAATGAGTGGACATAGCACTTCATTATATAGTTTTCTGGGCATTATGATATTCCAGTGAAGGCTAGACTTGATGATCTTGGAGGTATTTTCCAACCTTAATGATTCTGTGAGCATGGTCTTCTGTGAGCATGGTCTTCTGTTGAAGACCATGCATCACTGCTTATTTCTGCAACAAACCACAGATTCACAGACTGATTTGGGTTGGAAATGACCTTAAAGGTCACCTCATTCCAACGCTCGTGCCAGAGGGGCCGGAACACCTTTCACTAGGGCAGATTGCTCAAATCAGATAATCTAACTGAGCTGCAGCAGAGATGTTCAAGGCTTTCCCCAACATTAGATGCAATGCACCATTCCAATGATTCCAGGGAGCTCATGGGAGTGAGGAATGACCACAGATTCCAGGAAGAAGGAAGGTCAGCAAAAAGCTGGAGAGCTCTGGATAGGGAGAAAGGACTGGATATGGTGAGCAGCCATTCCAGGCTGAGGGGAAGAGCAGTGAACAGAGTTTGGTGGGGTATCTTTAAAGGGTGTGAATTTGCTCTCTTGCCTCCAGACCAGCTCCTGGAGGGATATGGTATCCTCTGCGCCATTCTACCCCACTCTTGGACTTCTTTCTCTCTCCTCAGTCCCACTGAGAAAAAAACTTCCCAAGACTCACAGTTCCTCTCCTAGCTCTCCCTCCTACCCACAAAACCCAAGTATTTAGTAGTAAAATCACCAGGATTTGGTGTTCTGCAGGTAAACATGAAGTATGGCAAATGATCTGGAGACACAAGAAATGTGGGAAGATCTTACAATTTTCATCTTTTTTTTTTCTTTTTTGGTTATTTTGCCCCCAGTTCTTTCCTAACTACAGGTCTTGTCAGTCTTTTGCTGGCCTAGAAAAGTCATACTCTTCCAGGTTCCACTAGCAAAGCACATTTCATCCGCCTGATCATTCTTGCTGTTCTTCTGTGCATCCTGTCTTTAGGTCACAAACAATGCACACAGCATTGCAGATGAGGCCTTGCAGAATTAAGATTTTCCAGGTGTTACTGAACATGCTTGTCCTGAGATTTTCCAAGATTTGCACCTTGATTTTTTTTTAAACTGAGCCACTATGGTGGGTCAGTTAGTGACACTGGCACTCTGGCTGAGGAGGAGTTGCTGGAGCCAGGCCAGAGCAGGGCCACCAAGGGGATCAGAGGGATGGAGCAGCTCTGCTGGGAGGAAAGGCTGAGGCAATTGGGATTGTTCAGCCTGGAGAAGAGAAGGCTTTGGGGTGACTTCATTGTGGCCTTCCAGTGCCTGAAGGGAACCCACAGGAAAAAGGGAGAGAGACTCTTGACAAGGGTCCAGAGTGACAGGACAAGGGGGAATGGCTTCACACTGACAGATGATATTTAGATTGGATATTGGGAAGAAATTCTTCCCTGTGAGGGTGGTGAAGCCTTGGAACAGATTTCCCAGAGCAGCTGTAGCTGCCCATCCCTGGAGATATTCAAGACCAGACTGGATAGGGCTCTGAGCAATCAAGGTGTCCGTGCCCCATGGCAGAGGGTCGGAACGAGATGGTCTTTAATATCCCTTCTAACCCTGGCCATTCCATGATTCCACAAGTATTCCTTCTACTCACCCTCATCTGTCCCATCTCCAGTGGTATTTTCCCTTACAGCAAACTGGTGATTTACACAAAGCTTTCTGTCCAGTTTCAGGGAAGGCAGGACTGACATCAGAAGAGTTAGAGCAGGTAAGTCCCATTTTTTCCAACCTAGTACTCCCTGTAAATGGAGACTTTGAAACCAGCAGATGTAAAGCCAACCTACCAAGTCTGCAATGATTTTCACATAGCCCTATCAGCAAAAAAAATGTAGGAGGCGCAGAGCTTGTCTCCACATCTACCTCTGCCACCCTTCTGTTGTTCTGTTACTTAAGAATTGCAACTACATTTTTTCAGCTTAAAAAGCTCTGTGTCCTTGGGAAACATATTCAGGCAAGAGGAAGCTAAGATGAAGAGCAGTCAGGAATCCAGAGCCAGAAAGTGCTACATTCAGCACCAGGAATTTGGTGGCCATGCATGCCCCAGGCCAGCCTGGCTCCTGCTCCAGCCAGGCACATGAGTGGGGGTGTCAAGGACACAAAAATGCCAAGCACAGCACAGCAGACAGGCACTCGCCCTCACCTTATGTTGTGGCAGTGGCACACCTTCCCCAGAGCTCCAAAGCAGAGAGGCAGACAAAGAGACTGTGGTCCAATTCTGCTTTTGCCGGGGATAAATTTGGAGTCACTTCACTGACGTCAGTGAAGTTATTCCAGAATTGCACCAGTGTAAAAGAGGGCAGCATCTGTTTTCTGAAAATGGATGCCATCAAGCTAATTGAAAACAACAGATGCATCAAGGAGCAGCAAGAAGGGATGGTAATGTTCCAGATTTCTTGTAAAATACCATTTCATTTCCCTCCAGGGAATGTAAGAGAATAAAGCAATATGTACTCTAACAGCTAGAACTTTTTTTGGTGTAAAATTGTATACAACCTTTTAGGTGAATGGACCAATGTGCACCTACAGCACCCTAAAGAGATCCAGCCTAGTCATGGGCACTTACAGCCCTCTTCTTTGGCCTGATTCTTCTCTCACACTCATTTAAATCAGGAGTCATACCATCCACAATCCTATGGAAACCTTTATCTAACCTTGGGTAGACAGCAGAATCGAGGGCCCTCATTTTGTTAAACAGACAATGGCTAGATTAGGTAAGTAAATTGATAAATTTGTGACTTATGCCACTTTCGGACTAAGGGTGTTCCAAAATGTTGTACCACTGAATAAATATCTTTATATTAATTTAGTGAAAATGAAGCCAAAGAAGGACTTGCTGAATTTTCTTTGTGTGAAGACAAAAGTTTCCCCTAATTCTCATCTGCAACAAGTAGTCAACACAGCTTCAGTATTTATGGTGACCACAGAAACAGATGAGCACTTTCCCTCCTGCAAATCCTTTCTTTCCTTTCATTAAGAAGGAGTTTTACACAGCAAAGCTCAATTATTTCTTGGGCCCCCTCTTATTAATTGGCACTACAGACAACCTGGATATGTCCAGTGGTGAAGGTTCATCAGTGAATGCTGTAGGACAGTAAAACCCACACTGACCTCAGCTATGAGTTTCCCAAAATGTAAAGCCACGTTATGACATTCAAACTCCTTGTGCCAGCCAACAAGCCCCAGAGAGACTTCCCTGGAGCAAGGGAATACCCACTCAAAAGAGGGAAAAGCACGTGGAATTAACATGTACTAACAGCTGCACTGTTAATGCTGCACTGTTAATTAGCACAATCCCTGTCTGCCTTCCCCAAAAACATTTTTCTGGATTTATCTTCCTGGGAAGGGTCTTGTAGGACCCCAGCCTGAACAAGAAGAGTTCCTTGAAACTGGCAGGCAGTTTCCTCAGGCACTGTCTTTGGTGGCAGCTAAGGACACACAGCATCCCCTGGTTCCTTTCATCAGGGGATTAAGTCTTTTCATCCTGCCAACACCTGCTCCCCTCCTTATGCCTACAGCAGGTGCCTGCAGTTTAGGCATTCTCCTGCGAACCTGCTGATACCATGGCTGCAAATCTCTTCAGAAGGGATCTGCCTCTAGTGCAAGCTTCAAAGAGCTTCAAATGATGAAGGGCTCAAGGCTGTGCTCTTGGTAAACAGCAGCACCAACAGAGGTATCTTGAGCTCACAGGGCTGCCAAGGAGGGCAGTATGTTCCAATGCCCCATGAATCTGTCCACATCTTTCCACCAGTGAGGAAAAAAATTTCATAAAATGCTGCTACTCTTAATTTCTGTCAATATAAAGTTGAAGTTAATTTTAACTTAGCTCTGCCAAGTTTGATAGGACTTACTTGGACTCGAGACAGGTGAGAGCTTTTGGGAAAGCTGTGGTTGACTCCTGCTGTAATCTGCAGATCTTTCCCTGATGTAAACAGGACCTCAAGAAAAGAACAAACAAAAAGAAGCAGTTTAGCAAACAGTACATGTGCTTGGATTTGATGCAGAAGATTGAAGTTGAAGCCCAATATAATCCAAGGCAGTTGTACTAAAAGGAGTTTTGCAAGCTTGAATCAGCAGATGGTGAGGATCTGGCTCATACTACATTTCTGTAGTTTATAATTATCTTTCTTCACCTAGAACCAGATTCCCCCTTTAGGCTGCAAATCTTAATTAGGAAATCCTTCCTCATTAATTTCAAGAAACTCTTGGTTGTTAATTTCCCAGAACAGAAAGAAACCTTACCTATTTTTGCAATAGCAGCAGATGATGGATCTGCTTGTTCCTTTGCTTTTAGGGTTGATGCTGCTCTTGCCATCACCGTGTGGAAGACACTTCAATCCTTACCCTGTCTCTTGCTGCCCTGAATTTTCTTGACACTCACTCTTCTTTATCCCATAGGGACTCTGAATTAGAGGACCCAGGAGAGAAGACCAAGTTCAGCCACCTTCACCTCCACACCTGCTGTAGCAGTGAATTTTTATCCACAAAAGCTGGATCAAAAGGCCCAAACAGAAAATTACTCAAAAATCCCGAATTCCAATGTTTTCCAAGAAGGAGCAGAACAGGAATTTCATCTTGGAGTTAAGAGCAAGAGTCCAACAGTAAAACACCACAGAACAGGTCTTCATGCCTTCCGTGCTTCCAGACCTTTGTGTGGATAAAAAAAATTGTGTCCTCAGTAAAATTCTTCCTTTTCTTCCTTTTTTGCCTACCTCCAAAGAGACAATTTCTGCCCTGTCCTGCTTTGGTGAAAAACATCCTGTGGGAAAATGATCAGGGGAACCAACTGTAACATACCAGCCAGGGGATCTGGAAGGAGCAATAGTCTCTTCCACTGTAAAACTATTTCCTAGTGAGATTGCTGCAAGAGGAGTTTCTGGATCTTTAAAGTAATGCTTTAGCCTGTATTCCTTGTCACCAGACACCCAGATGACTCTACATCAGACCAGTTGCCCCTCAGCTCCCTGGCTGACTGCTCAGATTGTATTTCACACACTCTTCAACTCTGTGTGGATGGACAAATAAAATCTCTTTCCATCTCCAGGTTTGCTCTCCCTGCTTTCATAGGCTGGAAACTGCCCACCTGAAGTTGGACAGGGCAGCTGTACATGATATAAGGTGATGGGATCAGCTCCAGTAGGCAAAGAAAACATCTGTAAAGATAAGGTGCTGATATCTGAACACAAAATATCCAACGAGTGCTTTTGCTTGTAGCCACAATCACAGCACAGAGAGAGAAAAACAGTCCAGGAGGTTGTTATGGAAACAAGTCCCTGGAGGTGCCTACTTGGCTTCACAGGGATGTGCTCTACCTTCAGAAGGAAACTGACTTGCATTTTGAGCAGCTGGGGGGAGTGCTAAGCGCTGAGAACTTGAGATAAGGTTTTTGAAAGCATCTCTATGATTCAGTGGCATGAGACCTCTGATAAAGTTAATGGGTGCCACTGTGTCATTTCAGTCACGTGAAAAAAAAATCTGAAGGCTCCTTTAAAAATGTCAGATTCCACAAGTTCTGTAACGTATAGCATTACTGATGCTCTGGGACTTCACTGCTTTTCAGGAGGTGCTTTGAGAAGGATTTACATGTCCCAGATGAGTCCCAAGGTTACAGTTTCCATGTTTCTGTTGGCGGTCTGTATTTCCCTTAGAGCCAACATGGAAAACCCAGGGTGCAAACAACACTCCTGCTTTACACATTTTCATGTGCCCTTTTCTTTTCAGAATTGACAAAAGTGGCTCACAAAAACTGCACAGAGCTGCCTTGCTCACCACAAAATACCTTTACACCTTGGGTGCGATCTGTGGGTGGGAGAATCCAATACCCACTGGAAACTCACTGCTGGATTCCACCCAAGGGCAGAACACCTCTTTCCAAGAGGATCTGTGTAAGACATGCTGGGATTGTGCTACCAGTGATCGTTTTTTCTTGCTAGAGTCTCCATGTCCAGCTGTCTGTCATGCTGGTCAGCAGAACAACCTGTTCCGGGCAGGGAGGGCTCCTGCCTGGCAGGGCCAACAGGGCCAGGCCCAGGGGGAGAAACGAGACCAGGAATTTTCTGACGTAGGTTCAGCGTGTCTCATGACTCCTCCTGAACTTGTGTTCAACCTGAGTTTTTTATATCTTACTTTGGGGGAGCTTTTATCAGCTGATAGACTCAGGCATAAAATATCCCCAAACATGGGCATTCAGCTGGGAGAGGGCAGCAGCCTCAAAACATCCCTCTTAAATAGCAGCTTCTTTTGCTAGTTTCATGCAATAGAAAACTTGAAGAACAGACCCTCTCTTGACCTCACAGTAAAGATTTCATTAAGGTGACCCCAAAACACAACTAAGAACACCACCAAGACTACGACACACTAAGAACTGGACAACTTTTACACAAAATCAACAGAGGTGGCACCATGCCCCTCAGTCCCACTTATTCACCAGGACAATTTACCCACCAGCTGATTACAGGTGTCAAGGGATGCAGAGTGGTCCCCAAGGCTCAGACCTTCACGAACCTTTGCCTCAGTCACATGAAGCAAAGATAAATTAGGCTTTATTCAGGCAAACCCCTCTGAGCTATGAGTCCTCACCACATCAAACTTGTGTCTCCCAGACTGAGAGAAGTGGCATTTTCCTACTGATTTCAGCAAGAGAGAGCAAAGGTTCTAATATAATGGTTGTGTGCTGACCCCAAGGGAGATCCCTGCACACTAAAAACATTTGAGAAGGCAAGAGGACTCTGGAGAAATTGAGTAGTTAGGATTTGCACAAACAACTTCTACCATATGAGCAGGGCCAGGATGGAGAGAGGCCACAATAAAAGCACTCTAGGCATGGAGCCATATGTCAAGACAACTGAGAACAGGTAGAGTAATGAAGATGCAAACAGATCCCACCTCACAACCAGTTCTATAGCCAGTTTTGACTATATTAAAGGATAGGGCTCTGAGCAACCTGGTCTAGTGGAAGGTGTCCTTCTTTGGAAAGAGATGATCTTTAAGGTCCCTTCCAACCCAGGTCATTCTATGATTCTATGATACGCCTTTAGCATTCTTAGTCTTATGGCTGGAAAGCACAATATATATACAAAATATATTCTCTGTATTTTTGCACCTTGGCATTATGTTTGGTTTATGTATTACACGTGCCCCATGCAATATGTAGTACGTTCCAATATGCATTTCATACAGTGTAATGCAAGGCATTAATGGCTGCCTTTGCTTTTGTACACATGCAGACATGTGAATGCAGAACAAACACTTAGAATTCAAACAAGAAGGACTTTTCGTTGCAGGAAAATCTGCCAGTGGAATCTGAAAGCATACATTTTTCTTTCTCACCTGCTGGCAGAGCTTGAAACATTTTTAACGTTAGGTGTAAGGCAGAGCTGACTGAACTAATGAAATTATCTGGGAAGCAAAACATGTGTTTGAAGATAGAAATCTCTGGTCCCTTGACAAACCCGGCTCTGCAGGCCAAGCTATGCATATTTTGCATGGCTGGCACAAACTGCTCTCATAAAATCAAGTACAAAAACACTGCTGTCACTCCTATCCATGAAATACCAGGAACTGGCTAGGCCAGCAATACAGCAAGAGCATCTCTTCAGGGCTTGCTGTTTCTCCTCTCATTCAAAGGGTCTGGAGGATGCTGCTGGCTTTGTGCAAACAGCTTAGGGAAGTTTGTATCTGTGCCAGTCTCAGTTTCAAGTGTTGACACACTCTCCCTGAAGCATTTTATGCCTCTGACTTGCTAAACCAGCAAGATCCTCACACAGCACAGGTGCACAGCTCTTTGTGGTTGGGATTTTCCTGCCACATCAACAAAATGCCAACATGCAAACTTCCCTCAGCTACACAATGCTCAATTAAAAAAAGCAGCGGTGTCAACTGCTCTCCCATGCCTGAATATAGAGCTGGGTATCTGAAGCACAAAGCACATCTCATTAAACGCTATTGTGTGAAGATGAACTCTGCAGATAACAAATGAATTTACTCAAACATGCCTTGCATCAGAAGGCACTTACCACTATGAAGATTAAGTTGGTACTATAAAAGCCAATTAACATCAGACATAAATAAGGCTGAGATAAGCTCAAAACACAGAGAATCTTCACCAAGCCTGTTGACTGCTTTAAGCTTGTTTTTGATACATGATGTATGGTCACAAATAGCAAAGAGCTTTTAGATTTATGCACTTTTTTTTTTTTTTTTTTGAAACACAAACCAGGACGATCTTTTAGCATGCCAAGGGTTGCAAAGAAGGCAGGTATCTGCTTGCCGGCTTTCCCCTACAGCTGCAGAGCTCCCTGTGATCCTGGCTGCAGCGTTTCCATTATTCAAAGGCAATGGCATGGCAGGCGTGACTGATTCCACAGCCAAGGGCACTGCGCTGGCACAGGGACTGAGAGCATGGCTCGAGCCAGATGTTTGTAGCTGCTTTAACTGTTTACTCTGCTGAATGCTTCTGCTGAAGTAGTGGCAAGGACTTCTCTGCTAGTGGAGTTACAAGACTTGGTTTCGGAGCAAATGTTGGATTAAAGCAGTCATCAAAAGCAGAGAAAGAAATGCACAAGGGAGTGGGGATGACAGCTAGCACTCCACGGAATAAAGCAAGAACATTTCTGGCTGCACACAGTAATGAGAAACAGCAAATCAGGCCAGAAGAGCCCATTATCACAATCATTCTGTTTACGGTATCACAATCCACAATCTGGCATGTAAATGCTGAATAGATCCAGCTGCTTGTAGGAAGACAACTGTAACAGCAGCTTGCAGCTCTGTGTCTGGACCCAGGACAACAAAACCCATCACACTTCTGTCAGCATTTTCTTCTCTTTATATCCCTGGTTATTGGGAGGAATGTAGTTGGAATATTTCATGGACTCCAGGTCTTCTGCTTCCAGGAATTCAGATTTGCTGAGGGACTGATTACTGTCCCCCTTCTTGGGCTCAGAGAAGGGTGACTGTTGCTGGCCACAGGTGACATGGGTGTACTGGCACTGCTCTTCATGGTCAGTCTCTCGGTGGTAGAAGTAGTTGAAGTTGGACACAATGACAGGGACAGGGAGGGCAATGGTGAGCACACCCGCGATGGCACACAAGGAGCCCACAATCTTGCCACCAATGGTCATGGGATACATGTCCCCATAGCCCACGGTGGTCATGGACACCACTGCCCACCAGAAAGCATCAGGGATGCTGGTGAACAGTGAGTCAGGATCATCAGTCTCTGCAAAGTAGACAGCACTGGAGAAGAGGATCACCCCAATGAAGAGGAAGAAGATGAGGAGGCCCAGTTCCCTCATGCTGGCCTGGAGAGTCTTCCCTAAGATCTGCAGCCCCTTGGAGTGCCTGGAGAGCTTGAAGATCCTGAAGACTCTGACCAGGCGGATGACTCTGAGGATGGCCAGGGACATGGCTTGCTGCTGGCCCCCATTGCTGCTGCTCCCGGGCTGCTGCTTCTGCTGCTGCTGCTGGGCCAGCTCGGTGCCCAGGGTGATGAAATAGGGGATGATGGCCACGATGTCGATGATGTTCATGATGTTGCGAGAGAACTCGGGCTTGCTGGGGCAGGCGAAGAAGCGCACGAGGAGCTCAAAGGAGAACCAGATGATGCACAGGGTCTCGATGAGGAAGAAGGGGTCTGTGAAGAATGGGCCGGAGCCAGCGGCGGGGTGCAGGGGCGGAGGGGTCCCGCTTGGCGGTGGCAGCGGCGGCAGCAGCAGCGCCTCATCTCCGAGAGGAACAGCCTCCCCGAAGCCAGGCTGCGGTCCCTTGGGCTCCTGGCGGAATTCGGGCAGGGTCTCCAGGCAGAAGATGACGATGGAGATGAGGATGACCAGTACGGAGACGATAGCGATGGCGCGGGCTGGCCCGGAGCTCTCAGGGTACTCAAAGAGCAGCCAGACCTGGCGTTGGAAGTGGTGCTGGGGCAGAGGCTTCTCCTCCTCTGGGATGAAGCCCTCGTCCTCCCGGAATGTCTCGATAGCCTCCTGGCCCAGCTGGTAGAAACGGATCTCCTCTAGGAAGATGTCGAGGGGAACATGGACTGGCCGGCGGAGCCGCCCCCCGGACTGGTAGTAGTAGAGGATGGCATCGAAGCTGGGCCGGTTGCGGTCGAAGAAGTACTCGTTGCGGAGCGGGTCGAAGTAGCGCACCCGGCGGCTGGGGTCGCCCAGCAGCGTGTCGGGGAAGATGGAGAGGGTCCGCAGCTGCGTCTCGAAGCGCAGCCCCGAGATGTTGATCACCAGGCGCTCGCTGCTGCAGCAGCTGCTGCCGCTCCGCTCCTCGCCCGGCGCCTCCGCCTCCGCCTCGCCGTCCGCCCGCGGGGCCGCCAGCGCCAGCGGCTCTTCCGCCCGCATCCCGCCCGCTCTGCCCGGCGCTGCCCTTCCTCGCCTGCCCTTCCCTGCCCCTCCGCCTCGCCCCGCTCGCCTTCAGCGCCCGTCGCCCGCAGCCATCCGCCTGTTGCGCCTCGGTGCGGCCGCGCTGGCCCGGCGGCTCCACGGGGCTCCCGGCGCGGCTCCTCCTCCGGCCGCGGGGCTCGGGCACCGCGCCGCTGCTGCTGCTGCCGCTGCTGCCGCGCTCGGCTCCGCGCTGCTCTCCCCGCGCACACACAGGGACACGCAGACACGGAGACACGCGGGAGAGAGAGCGGGAGAGGGAGGTGTGCGAGCACACAGGCACGGTGTCACACACGGGGAGAGGGGCACACGCAGACACACGCAGGCACCCGCACGGAGACAGACACAGACAGGCACGGAGACAGACACAGACAGGCACGCCGCGCCAGCGCCGACACGCTCAGCTACAGACGGATGCGCGCACCCGCCAACGGGGGATGCTCGCCCCACCTCTCCCCCCGCCGCGGAGGACGCGGCAGCCACAGCCTAGGGGCTCCGGCTTTTCGGGGGAGACCCCCGAGGGGAAGCCGCTCGGGGATCAGCCCTCTGGCCAGGAGCTTCGCAACAGCTGGTCCAAAGGGCGGCACCGCCGCCGCCCTTCTTTCGCCCACCTCTCCCCACTGGAGTCCTGCCTTTGTCCCCTCAGGCAAACCCCTGCCGGGGGCTGTCCGCCACCGCCGGCTCCGGGCTGGGCTCAGAGCTCAGCCATGGGACCGGGCTGACCTCGGTGTTGTTCCCGTTCCCGCCGCAGGCTGGAGTTGACCTTGAGCCAGTCACTCCATGCCTGTGGCTCGTGGACCTCCATTTATAAATGTCATTGCCATGATGCAAGCACGACGGTAGCATCGGACCATCCACAGATGGAGACAGCCTGTCACGGTGAATAGTGCAACCGGGGAAAGATACAGGTAAATGCAGTTGCTCTCCTCATTTGGGGTGGATGGAGTTTGCCTCTTTTCCCACATACCAAACACGTGAGCTTTTTTTTTTTTTTTTTTTTTTTGTCCATCACCACACAGCTAGCATTAAGTCTTCCCAAAATCAGAATCTGCATTTCACACACAATCAGACTACCAGCTCTTTTTGTCTTTAGAAACCTGTGTTTTGCCCCATCCCAGTCACGCTCAGCATTTGAAAGCACAGAGAAATTTACGACACTGTACTTTCTCCTGAAAGAGAGAAAATGGGCTAACAGGTGACTCTGGTTCCATCCTTCCCTCGACAAAAGTCTGTCTTTCCCTTGAAAGCCCTTTGTCAGTGCTAAATATTATTAACCAGGCTTTTATCATCGCAGCATCTGATGCCTGTGCTGGCTGCAAGCCATGTGCTTAGCCTACACCATCTCTTAGCAGCACAGATCTAGAGGAAAACATTCCCCTTTTTATGCCTCCCTTCTCCCAGTCCCTCCTAACTAGCTGGCAATTCCTGGTTCAGACTCTGGACATTTTGACTAGCTGACTGTGGCTGCTTTCTTTGTCTCTGTTCTCAGGAAGGAGGTGAATATGAATTAAATGTCACTTAACCCCCTTTCCTTTCTTGCTCATTAGCATTGAAGATGGTTGTTGCAAAAGAAAGCTTTTTTTTTTTTTCATTTTTGGGGCTGTCACACAAGGAAGTGTATTTTTGTTTCATATTATACATAACTGGGGTATGGCAGCCAGATGAAAAAGACTTTGCTGGAGAATATACCTATTCTTTGAACAAAAAAAATCATTGTTTGCCTTTGTAATAGTAAAATGCTTCTTGCTGAAATTTCTTTTTCAATTATTACAATGAATTATTCATTCCCAAGATTATTTGAATCATAACTTCATTTGCAGGGTTAACTGTTGAGAAATCCTTTCAAAACAGCTTTCAGGAGGGATGGGAAAGCTCCCGACGTTTCTAAGAGGACACATAGGGCATGTATACGTGATGGAGCTCACCCTGTGCTGGGTTTGAAGGAGCAAGCTTCAGTCAGCAGAGCAGAGTCAGCGTGGAGCTCCAGAACGGTTTGCAGGGCCATTTTCTAGCCCATACAGACACTTCATGCTACCAAACCTCTGGGTTTCCCGATACCTGGGCGAGCAGTGCTCCAGCATCCCATCCCTTCCCACCCTCCTGCCACAGCCCAGCTCCGAGCAGGCACTCTGGCTGCTCTGCACCACCTGGGCTTGCTCTTGACAGCCCTTCAGAAGCCGCTGTCCCTCTGGTGCGCTCAGGCTCAGTGTTAAAGCCAGAAGCCCTTGCAGTATGCCACACAACTCTTCTCAGCACACAGCCTGCTCCCGAGCCATTCTGCACCGCGCCGCCTGTGCAGCCTCACCCCTTCCTCACTTCTATATTAAGAGGCAATACCCATTGCCACAATTCAGCCTCTGTGCATGTCCTGCTGGGCCAGCTGCTCCTGGTGGCACAAAATTTGCAGAGCTGGAGGCAAGGGCGACCCGGAGATGTCGGGAGGGACAAGAACAGTGTCCCCAAAAGTCACACTGCTGTACTGTAATGCTCCCTGGAGAGAGATTTGGGTGCTGGCTCTGAAGCCAACACCACGAGGCCAGTGCCACCTCAGGGTGCCATTAAGCTCCTCTTTGAGGCAGTAGCTGTGATCACATCTCCAACTCAGGTCTGGCACCTTGCTGTGGTTCAAGAGTTTATGATGGCCACATCCTCCTGCAGGCTGTATTGGTCACTAATGCCAAGGTGCACAAAAATCCCTTCAGAGATTCACAGGGAAAAGCGTTCTGACTTGCACAGGACACCCAGTTTTGGGCTCTCATCCTGCTCCAAAAACGGGAGGGACATTGTTCTTCCAGGCCTGGTCCATACAGGCACTGTCAATCTGCAGCACAGGAGTTCAGTTTCCATCATTCCTTTGGATGAACCCCCAAACGTGGCTCAGCATTTTGGGTAACGCTGCCACCCTTTGGATTTCCTTTAGCTGCCTTCTGCAGGATTTGATATCAGCACTGCAACTGCCAAAAAATTATCTGTGTAGCATTTTCTCAGGAAAGCCAAACCCAGAGACCCTCACTCCAAAACTAATTTATCCCAAGTGGGAATCCAGGTTTGAGGCTAGGGCATGCAAAACTTCTTAGCCACTTCCTTGTCTTCCTGCATTTCCCAGTCAGCCCATTGTCTCCTGACCTTTCCAATTCCCTCCTTCATGGCTCCTGTGCTACCCCTATCTTCTGCTTCCCACATTCAGGTACTTTTCCCAGTTATGGAGCTTCTCATCCCTATAATCCTACTACAGTTTCTTCACTTGCTTGCAGCAAAATACTTTTCACATCCCTTTTCCAAAACTCCTTTTGGCTGAAGGCTGCTCAGTATGTGCTGGGGATGCTGGCTGCCCACTGGACCTTCAGCAGAACAGCTTGACATGCTTTGCTCATGTGACATCTTGTAACTCTCACCCCCATCAAATGGAGACACAAGAACACCTTCCATGCCTGCAGTATATTTTGGTGATCAATGCACCTCTAAAATCATCCTAATACACAGGCTGGGAGGCACAACAGAACCTCCCACAGGCTGGAGGCTCTGGGGTAAGATTCATTTCCCAGGAGCCAAAATATTCCACACATCAAACAAATCCCCACAGTCTAAAAAGAGCAATAGACAGGGAAAATGCAGAAAAAAAAAATGCTATAGCTGGCAGAGCATCCCCATTTGAAATGGTAATTTACACTTATACACAGTACCAATTACAGCCAACTTCATACTTCCCTTCTTACTCAGAGCCATAAATCTATAAATGAGAGTGCTGAACAGGGGAGGGAAGCAGAATTAGCTTGAGCCCTGGAGCTGTTAGGCACACCACTCGGAAACAGGAGTTCTCCTGGTTTGTTCTCTCACCAGAAAGCAGGAGAAACCTGAAGGATGTTTATTAATGTCCTTCCAGGCATCACCTGCTGCGGCATAAAATGTTCATGATCAGATCCCTGAGTGCCTTCAGCCTCCTTATTCTAGTCCAAGTGAAGGCCTGGCTTTGAAACATTGCATCTCACAGAATGCCAGACTCACTTAGGGTATGAAAGAACAGTGATTTCACTGCATATGGGCAATGAAACCTTGGCTTTCCTATTTCTTTTACACTCCTAGAGAGAAGAAAATACTCAGAGTTCTCAATTTGTGTAACTGCAGATCTCAAAGAACCAGAAAAGCCCTCCCAACCGAGGAGGGCTGGGGCATCTAACAATACCCACGTATCAATCATGATTTCATGCATCACCACAATGAGCAGGGATTAAAAAAAAATCCCAATCTTCTCAAAATACAAGTAACCCTGAATATTCTCTGATGGGAAACCCTCCATCCCAGTCATAGAATCGTAGAATGGCCAGGATTGGCAGGGATCTTAAACACCATCCTATTCCAAAGCCCTGCCATGGGCAGGAAGAACATCTTCCCCTAGCCCACGTTGCTTAGAGTCCCGTGCAGCCAGGCCTTGAGCAGTCTCTGTGCTGCCCTTTGAAAAGGGTGCTTGTGTCACTGCTCACTGATTGAGGAAGAATTGCACTTCCACGAAGTGAAGGTGACAGTTCTATTCCCTGGATCAACCCAGACTATTCCTGGAATGCTGTCCTTTCTGTTTGTTGAACAGGTCTTTGTACTGGAAAAAATATATAATGATATAACTAAAGATTTTGTCACAATACTGGGATAAATGGGGGAGGGATGAAAACAGGTTGTACCAAAAAGTTTGACACAAATATTTTCTAGCTTTCAAGTACTTGTGTTAACCTAAAGTGCCTTTAATACTGTGTTTGTCTTGGGTTTCCCCCCAAAATTCTATCTATAGATGAATAACTTTTAAACCTTTATTTTTAAATCCCTTAAGTATTTCCCATGGAAATATGTTGGGTTTTTTTCAGATGCCCTTTCCTAGAGAGACTCTGTGGATGTACTTCAGGGACTTCAGGTTTCTGTTTATTACAGGAGGAAAAGCATTCTGGTCTGTCATAGTTTTTAGGTTCACAACACAACCCTGTATTGTGTGAGCAAATGAATGAGTGTGACAGACAGTGACAGCAGCATGCAGACCCCTCACCAGGGAAAGATGGAGGGTTTCACAGTTCTTTTCTAGGCAGCTTAAAATTACTGAAATGTACAAATACTGTGTCAGGTTTTGCAGCATCAGATGCAACTGCTTGGACAACTCTGGTCATGCTTCAGCTGGACTTTGTCTTCTTATGGGTCTGTTCAACCCCTTTTGCTCCTGCACGCCAATATTCAGTTTTCACTCTTTAATTTATTTCCATCCTAGAGGCCTTGAGGTGGTCTCAAGTGTTTATCCTTTTATTCTGTCCCTCAGCTCCTGTCCATGTCCCATCCTTCTTCCCATTTTCTATCTTCTCCCTGCCTTTTCAGCTTGCTGTTCTATCCTTCCTCATTTCCCAGTTCTTTCTGCTCCAATCCTTTCATTTAACTTTGGCTCACATCAAAACCCCGATATTTCAATGAAGCCCTGCTTCCATGCAAGAGAAAGGCATTATTTCTAAAATGACAAGAGATTCTTGAGAATTCTGCTGTGGCATTTAGTCTCTCTACATCTGGGTGCCCATCCACTGCTTCCAAAGGTACAGTGAGGAAAATTATGTTAGCCAAAGTCCAGAATGCCCTTGCAAGGAGTCTTGGCTAAGAGCAGATTGTACATGCTGTCAGTGGCACCTCTGATGGTTCTAGCTGGTAGTGCAATGTTTTCTAAGTGGTCCAGGCAATGATCAGTGGCTTATATACTGTGTAAGGC